TAGCTTAAAACTGGAAGCTAGTGATTTCCTTTATTAATAAAAGACGGGGTGTTACAGGCGCCAAATTTGTTGTGTAAAAATTGTTCTTTTTACCGAGTACCGAATCGAAAGATTCGTTCGCCGGGTCGATCTCACGAGGAAGGCGGTTCGGAATTTAGTTCTGATATCGATAACACATAAAAGCAAAGTAAATCCTAAACATACTAATCAAATAAAGATGGATGAATTATCGGCTAAGAAATAACATAAAAATAGTAATCTACTTAAGAAATACGAACGAAACAATGAAAAAAAAAAGCTAGGGAGTCGGGGATAATTAATTCAAGTTCTAGCAAAACCGGGCAATCAATTATTCGGTTCAAGATTGACACTCTCACTTAGACATCTAGCGGTCCGCTCCCAATAACTCTTCGTAACAAGAAATTGAACATAGACATACAAACTCGAGCATACAACACATGCTAACTATCCCAATCCCAATAACTTTCCGTAACAAGGGACGGGTCATCGACACATGCGTATTTCAATCTAAAACACATAAATTATTTAATTTTGAAATCATCTATCTCATGTGAGCCTATTTCTACGACTTCTCCCCTTTCGGTTCTGAAAGCCGCTAAGTCAATTAGAAGGTGTTTAATCAACTAATCATATAGAATTGACAAACCCTAGCTCAACAAATTAACATCCAACTCTCACCAATAGCAAGATCGAAATGTCACTTTTTGTTTATATCAATCTATCGGACACAAATTCATCAATTCCTAATGAATTCAACTCACACAAGCATGAACAAATCGAAGCCCGACAAATGCACGTTAAACAAGAACAATCATCCTCTATCCCTAGCAATTAGAATTAGCTACGTAAAATCAATCCAACACACATAATCATATTCTCCTAATTCAACCATTATTCATGAATTAAACATAAAAGAAAGGAAACTTACGATTAATCTCAAGTCCAAGTGTTGAATATCAATTACAAGCTTAATCCCAAAAGCAAGAACAATTCCTAGAATAAGCTTGAACGAACATAAGAAGCATTATGATGCGGCCAAGCCAGAGCTCCCAGCCGTCACGCCCGCGCCGCGCCGTGACGATCGCCGCGACAACTACAGAGGATTCCAGGCGCCCAGGCCTCGCGCCGCGGCAACATCACTCCCCCGCGCCGCGCACGTTCCGCGACAGCGACAGAGACTCGCCCATCAACCCTTCGCGTCGTGTCAATGTTCCGCGCCGCGGCGCATCCTCTTCACCACGCCGCGGCAGTACATAACGCCATGACATGCAGCTCCCAGGACAGCACGCTCCGCGCGGCGTCGTCCCCACGAGATGAGCAGAGGTCCATCGCTCACCCGTCGCGCCGCGAGAAGCTCCACGTCGTGATGCCCCTCTCTGCCGCGCCGCGCCGCGCAGAAGTTCCGCGCCGCGACGCATGCTTCCCAACGCCCAATGCCACGTCCGTGAAGGTCCTCGCGCCGTGAAGAATGGTCGTGCCGCGCCGCGACAAACCATCACGCCGCGTCGCCACCTTACCTCGCGCCGTGCATGAATTCTCCGAGCCGTGCCACTAGATCTCTCCGCGCCATGTCATCATTATTTCTGCTCATATAAATAGATGTACGGGACCTCGACGAAAAGAAACATCTCTCGACCGGGGGTAAAAACCCTAGGTCCCGAGAACACCACGAAATCTCCTTCTCTTTCCTTCCTTCTTCTTCTTCCTCGTTCTTTTTCTTCAATTAATCCTTATTTTCCATTTTTTATCTCGCCGAATTCATTTCCGTTTTCTCATGTGAAATCCTAACGAATTGCTCTCTTTAACTATGTCCGCCCGGTCCATTTGTCATGAACAACAAATCCTCTCGAGACCTATAGCCTGCACACCAAAAATGACAAACTACCAGAAAACGACCGAAAAATACCAGAAAACCCAAAATAGAGAGAAACACGCAATAAAACATAAAACGAACTAAAAACAAACCAAAAGACTCAAAATGGGGGGAAAAAGAAAGGAAAATAACAAGGAAAAACACAACAAAAATGGAACAAACATTAACCAAATAGCTTGACTTGTCAATTTGCAACGTAACTTCTACAAAAAATTGCGCCACAGTCTTGTGAGTGCAACTGCTAAAGAAAAAAATAATTTGAAAATGTAACGGCTTTCAAAAGAAGTTAAACAGTTATTTTCCAATGTTCCATTTAAGACTATCTTTATCCCCAACTCAACACAATCCAACCTAACAATTAAAATTATTTCTCCCACCTATACCTACACAACTCAAATTTTCAACCCAATTTATCTTTATCCCCAACCCAACTCAACCTCAATATTTATTTTATTTTAATTTATTTAAAAATTGCAAACATGTTCTAAAATATATCAAGTGTGGTCTCTATTTGTAGAGAATGGAAAATATGAATTTTAATATTTTTTTTTATTTTAGAAATAAAAAAAAATACACTTGTCCAATAAAAATGGAACAAGTGTTCCATTTTTACATAAAAGCCGATCGCGACCGGAGGTCACAATGTGACCTGGATCGCAAAATACAATGGCCTTTTCCCTTTTTCTTTTTTTTTTTTGTTTTATTGTCGTGACCCAGTGAATGGGTCACGGATAAAAATAGTCTAAGAGGACAAACATTTTTTCTTTTTTTTTTCAAGATAGAATTCTCCATTAAAATAGACGAGTACGTCAAGCCGAATACAACCTAAATGAGACACTGGGAGACACACTTCAACAATGGTCTAGAAACAAATACCAAGCCGAATACAACCTAAATGAGACACTGGGAGACACACTTCAACAGTGGTCTAGAAACAAATACCCGCAACACAGGTCTAGAAACAAATACCCGCAACACAGATAAAGCAGGGACAAATACCCCGGATACAAAGGGTAAACATTTCAAATGTCCATAATAACAGTCTCGCAAGCTTGCCTCTTTCATCTTTTCCATGCTTGCCTCTTTCATCTTTTACATGCTTCTCGGATATACTATTCAAGATATTAGAGCCTGGACCAAGTGGTCAAGCAACATGTAGAGATGGGAAATTAAAAACAAAAA